GCATGAGCTCAGGCCGCAACGCTCCGTCAGTGGATTGACGGGACACTGCCATAGCATGTATGACACGTACTGTTAGAACCGACATACTTACGTGGGGCGATGAAGTGCCAGAAAAGCATAAGGCGCGACTAGGCAATACTGAGTCGATGGTCAGTTGATAGTCGTAATGCTTGGACTGAGGAGGGAACACACCTTATATACAAGGACCATGCCGCAACTCAAACCCCATACGAGACTTGACTACTGCTCCAGTGGCTGAAACCTGTTCTGATGTTCTGTATCGGTCTCAAACAGCAGTCTACACCGGACTCGAGACGACAACTCGTACAACACCGCACATATGACCTTGCGGTGCTGATGACTCGCATGTGGCAATTGTACCCAAGCGAAGCAGCCGGCAGGGGATTGAAAGTGAATGGAAACTGCACTCGGGTCACTGCGAGCGGCGTGTTCAATGGCGTGAACGGAAGGCGGAGAATCATACCTAGAAACCGTGAGGAATCAACTGTTTCATGTTCGTGTCTCGTGCAAAATGATACATTACAGATCGTCGCGCTTTCGTTGTGAAAATGTTCGTAAGCGATTGTTTTGGGCCGCACCCGCCCTCTATTCCGCGGGAGGATCCCTCGCGGACGTCATCGCATTGCGTCCCGTACTACCAGAAGGCGGGTTCGCCCAGAGTGAGACCTCTGTGTCCAGCTCGATGGCTTCTTCCGTCGTGTCCCCATCGGGGGAACTCAAGCCGCTCAGTAGGCCGCTGGTTGGCAATGAGCTGTCTCCTCCGGACCGCGAGGTACCTCTGATGTCTAGTGTGAGACGAGAGAGCAGTACAGAATTGAGGCTGTGCCGATGTTGGGTGAGCACTTCGGGGTCATGTTGTGCGCAGAACTTACATTGCCGTCTCGAACTGCCAAGCTTCGATGAACTGCGTGGTACGGGAGGCCATGATATTGAGTGAGCCGTCGGAGCAAGAAGCCTCGCGGTCTCACCTCGCAGTCGCAGAATATTCCACGTATGGTGAGCGTAAGATGACCTGTTGCGAGGCCGAGCACGTTGACAGTACACAATAACCTAAGGAAGCAGCGGAGTATGAGCGATCCCAAGTATGTTTCATTGACGCGCAACTCACGCAAAACAGAGCAGGGCTGCCAACAATAGTCAGGATTCATCATCTCGTGGGAGGAGCGGCACGTACTGTCTCGAAGCATTATATCTGTGAGCAGGGACCTACCCCTTGTCGAATCCGACGTAGCTCTTCTGACCCGGAATGTCTTTATAGCCGTGAGGACTAGGACTACGCCATCTGAGAGCAGGGATGCTGCTCGTGCGCTCATCATCACTACGCAAGGATTTCAGTTCGCACACGGAGCCGGCGCTGCATCGAGAGAAGCCACATACGACTGGATGGAGGGATGTGAGCATCTGGTATGGACGAGGGGAAGGGGCAGCTCACCTGTAGAGGGAGTACACAGCCTCAGTGTCTCCAGGTGAGAGTGCCAGTGTGCACACTTGGTACTCCATAAACCCGTCGAGAACGGGAACCGAATGCATGAAAACATACTGTGTGTACCTCGTCGTCAACATGCTGATGCCATCGGGCATTGTTCACAAAGAACGGGTGGTCGAGGAAGAACTCACGATGGTGAGGATAGGATTGACGATGCCCAGCAGTAGGACTATGGCAGCGATCCAGACGTTCCGGTTGAAGACGGCATAGATACGCAAAGACGCAAAGACTACGGCCACAGCATTCATGGGCCGTCCTCGCGAGGGCGATGTTCGCGGAAGGGAAGGGCGACTCACCACTGGCGCTTGTCAGGATTATGACTGCGAATGCGATCTCGGTGCGCAGAAGGATCGCACAGCTGAGTTAAAGCAAGAGCCATTAGTGCAACACGGGTGTTCTTGTAACGGAAATCCAAACCTCTGGCGAAAGTGGGTCAAAGGGGCACTGCGCGAGCAAGCATCGAGAACATACGTTACTTACATAGTTGGATTGCCAGCTTGGCCACGACATGCGACTGAGCAGCTCGATGACCGTATTCAGGAGAGCGGGGTAGCGAAACCCGTAGAAGAGTATAGTCACTAGGGACTGCTCGGTCTTCCATATCGACTCGACCTCACGATCGAACGTCAAGCACCAGTCGTAACAGCATAATGCTACAAGGGAAGACGTTCGCGATCAGCAACCAGGTGCGACGAAGACGCACGTACTCGTTGCCGTCCAGTAAAGCGAGTTCTCGAAGTAGTAGTAGAACAAGAGAAAGCTGAGGATGTCGAATCCATTGTCAAATCTAGCTCACGCGACAGATCGACCATCCAGGCACGTACCTTTCAGCCGCATTTGCTTCCGCAGGTGTCAATGATATACCACCCTGATCTGCCATGGCGGAGACACGTCAATACATGTCACCTTGGTCTACCCTCCGATCTCGTGTCGTGGGCGTGCACACCGCCGGTGGATGATCGACTGGAGGATAATAAGCCAACGAATGAGCGTCTATTGTCTCTCGGCATCATCCTCTTCGTCGCGCTTCAGCCAAAAGGGCACCTTTGATAGCCGACGCACTAGTACCACAACCAGTACGAATTGGCTAGTTTCGGCTGCTAGAGCTGCTTCTTCCCAGTAACTGAGTAAGAGTAACAACCTCGAGATGTGCCAATATCCTCGCCGGTTGCGGCACCCCTGACCACAGCTCAAATCGACAGGTTGTGGAGACGAGAAAAGTGGTCGGCGACGGAGATAGCGGGTCGGCGTACATAATGGGGTGAGCATGAGAGCCCCATTTAGACCTATGTCAGGCTATTATAAGTCGCGCAGTACAAGCAAAGCCATAGAGCGTGAGAGAGACGATGGAGGGCCCTGGAAAGTATGTTCGAAGTGGTGATGAAAACAGGGACACGACTCTACACGATCGTGCGCCGCGCGCGCTTGTGCGACGTCGGCGCTTTCAGTCTGTTTCGCCGATTAATATTATGACATATACCTACCTCCTCACCAATCCAGGGCCATTGCACTAAGTACAGTCACTTCAAAAAGCGAGTGCTCATGGGTATGTAGTTCACTCAGGGCCGTTCACTGCAAAAGAGTTTTGTAGAAAACGGGTCTCTGTCTCTCCCCGGTCGCTGAACGCGTGCGACTCTATGATATCATGTGACGCTGAGTCACTGGTTGCCTGATTGGCTCGTCTAAATCTCCATGCTTTCGACCATGCCCCTCCAACGCCCTCTTCTTGATCACGGAACATCTGGGCAGCAGGAAACCGCTCCAATGCAGGCGAGCTTGAACAACTCATTGGAATCTGATATCTCGTTAGAAGCCCTGATCACTTCAACGTTTGCTCTCAACGCGTTCCGTCTTTCGCACCAAACGGGGCCCTTATTATGGCCCCGACTCGAAGATCGCTAATGGGCCGAGGGTCACAATAAATGTCTTTGCGCCGCATTACGAGTTCAGAGCGGATTGTGAACATCATATCAATCGTATAGCAGCCGCCAGTCCGAGAAGATCGCACATTGTCCGCCAGCTGAGTCCCCCGTGCCACTTTCCGACATATGTCTAAATTCAGTTAGATGCAAGTATAAGTCTGTCCCGTATGGCTCCCATATGGCTCTGGCAGTGGCACAGGAAGTAACCCACGAAGCCCACAGGTACTGTACGTACTGCACGCGCTCGCAGGTGTACGCCGTTCCATCAGCAGTTCTCCGCATCCACTTGCTTATCGATTAAGGGTGTTCTCGTCGATGGGGCTGCCTCTTCGTGGTGCGTGAACGTGGAATAATTTTATTGAGATGCCAGATAGCCTTTGGAAAGCTGCCGTGCTGCCGCCTGCTACGCTTTCTTCGACCCCCCGGTCAGTTCTAGCTTATGCCAATGCCACAGCGATCCTTGCAGATTACAGGCTATCTCAACTCTCCTTCTGCAGCGCATGTCGTATATGATTCTCAGACCATGCCAATGGCGCGCTCACCAGCTTCCGCATCTGTTGACCCTTGCTTCCGTGGCTCATGTCCGAAAATGAATGTCTGTTCACGCTTCAAAGATTGGGGTATGATGCGTTCATTTCCATGTACTATGTCTTCCTCATGATAAGGGGGGTGGGGCAGGAGATTGTACGGGATCCCTGAATGTGGGTACTCTTCGTGTTCACCATGGTCGTCGCTTCTTATTACTTAGCTCTCAGGATATGAATAGCATTGCGAAACACGCCCTAGTTTACTGATGTGTTGGGTCATCCCGCAGGGTTTTTGCCACGGTGCTGCGGTAATACATCCTTCTTCAGTACGTCACGTCTTGCTGCACAACGGAGCTAACGACTCGCAATATGGCAGCGCCTTTGTCTTTGCGGAACCCTCAGACACTATCGTTGTTCATCGTGCCGCGCAGCATGTGCCACACACTTCGATTGCGAGGACAGGCACGAGTTACGTCCCTCCCATTCAATTTCACAGTGGTGTTGTGGACCCCGCGCTGATGATCAAGATCTAATTTTAGCAATGTACCAGGCATTATATGGCTTTCCCCCAAAGTCGAGCTTTTGCGACTAGTACGTCTTGTTTCCTTTGCTTAGGCGCCCATATGCGGATCATACAACAGGGGCAGTGAGCGGTATATACCAGTCCGAATGATCGCCGCCTCTTCACAGTGTCTCCGGCACAATCGCAGAGAGCCACTGATATGTCTCCCGATGTCAACAAGAAGTTGGCACATCTCGCACTGCTTCGATGCGTTCGCAAGTACGTATCGTTGATTTTGAGCGATCGCTTCCAATGGCGGAACGTCACAGACCCATCCCCCTAATATGGATCACCGAAAGCCTGCGATTGGGACTCATGCCCACCACTCGGGCTTCAACTTGAAGGAGCATCAGGCAGTTGAGGTGCAGCACACCGTAGTAGCTGGGGTCTCTGACTGGATATAGCGAAGTTGCTCTCTACTGGGCGGCAAGACCGGGTGTGTCGTATCGGTGACAGATCCCACCTATTCATGTTTCTTGGGAGGCAAGATGGCCGAGCGGTCTAAGGCGCTGGAATCAGGCGGTTCTTGATCACCAACCGCGGGGTGCTTTCTTCATCGAATCCATTCCGCGGCCTGTGCATATCCAGTCCAGAAATGGGCGCGAGTTCGAATCTCGCTCTTGTCATACGTTTTTAAATCCCATCGCTCTGACCTGAATACACTGCAAAGAAACTATACTTTTCTATGCATTTCCCGAAACTTAAAAACAACGGAAAGGCATTCAAAAGGAGTATTTCGCCCGTTTTGGCAAATAAAAAAGAATGAGTTATCCTTTCCACCTCCCTTTTTCGTCGAAAGGAAAGGAGAATTTCTTTGTAGTGATAACTGTTCCTCCCCTCCCAAGCTCTTTGCATCCCGTTATCGTCTTGGTTTTCACAGCGGATCCTCTTGAGCACTAGACGCCGGCGTTCGGTACCGATCCGATCTGACGGGCGGTCAAATATTACGCGCCACCGCGTAGACCGTAATGTAACGATTTCCAGAAGGGACAAATTTGGGAGGATTTTTGGTGCTCTTAAATGCTGGTGTACCCGCTGTGCACTTGAGAGAAATTTCAATTTCCCTCGCGCACTGGCAAATAGGTGTGGAGGAACCTAATCCCTACCAAAGATCAAGTCCCCTTCGGCCGCTCTCATGATCACTTGTGTGGGGCGCGAAGAAAAATAGCCCGTTGCCGCGAAGGAAGACGGACCAGAGACCATACAGGACGCAGAACCACAATGCATGTAGTACAAGTACATTCTTAGGATGCGGAGTAATCGTCACCTTACAGTCTATCCAAGATCATCAGAAAGGGCCAGGAAGGCTCAACGCCCTAGTCTGGCAAGTTATCAGACCTTCTCCATGCCCTCATGCTCCAAAACCTCCTCAGCGGTCGTGCCGCCCACGTACACCTTGCCCTCGCGCAGTTCTTTCTCGCGCTCACTCACATCCTGGAGCCCTGTATGCGAACCAGGGACGAAGATCGGGATATTCTCAAAGTAGCTGTCTAGCTCTGTCGTAGCAATGCAAGGTGAGAGGGCCGCGGTTTATGGGGGGCAGCAATCAAAACGAACCTTCGAGCGGGACACCCTTGGTCTCGGGCAAGAACGCCCAGAAGAATAGCGCATTCGTGAATCCGCATATTGCGAATGTTAGATAGAACTTCCAGCCTACACATCCAGTCAGCACGTAGCTCACGTCTCGCACAAATGCCTGAACACGCACCGACGGCAGTGAACGCAGGGGGGCTGACTTGCGCAATCATGACTGTATGTGAACCATAGGTCGGCCCCCCGCAGCGTAAGAGACATGACAAAGACGCTTACAGTTGGAGATCCACGCAGCGGAGGAGGTAATCGCGGTCGCCTTGGCGCGCGTCGCACTGTTGAACATCTCCACGGGGATCTGCAGGCATCGTCAGTAATCATACACTTCAAAGCACAAGGAGCGACGTACCGCCCAAGAGAGAGGGCCACAACATGCCGAGAACACCAGATTGAACTGTTTGGAAATAAACCCTCATGCCTCCCAGTAGATCTCTGAGGGACGCACCAGCCAGGTCATAGCAACGAACGCCCTGCTAGCATTGGCATTGTTCGAGCCCGCCGGGAAGCGCGCAATGATGATCGTTCCGATGACGAACGTCAGCCCACAGAGTGCGTTGCCCCACACGAAGACCTTGCGCCGGCCGAGACGGTCGATGTACCAGATGCAGAGCCCTTCACCGATGAGCGCGATTACCGAGTTGCCAGACTGCAGCCCTAGCGTGGTGGAGGTGTCGATGCCGATGCTTGCGTAAATAGTCGGTGCATAGTACTGGATACAACTTACGCCAGTCAATTGAATGCTGCGGACGGCACGGTCAGCCCGCTGTCACGAGATACGGTCTGACGGATGTAGTGCCCACCTGAACTGGATGGCTACGCCTAGGGCAAGTCGCCTGAAGTTGCTCGGTATGCCGAAGAGCTGCCTCCAGGCATCGCGTGTCTCCTCGTGCTCGAGCCGGACCTGCTCGAGGATCTCCTTGTGTTCACTCACGACGAAGGGGTCGGTGATGTCCCCATGTGCATGCAAGCGACCGAGGACTAGTAGCGCCTCCTCGTTACGGCCCTTCATAGCCAAGAAACGAGGGCTCTCAGGGAGTAGCCTGAAGCTGGGTCAAGATATCGACAAGCGTTGACGTAACATCCGGACTCACAATATAAAGAACGCAAGCGGGACTGCAGCTGAAGAGAGATCATCAGTGGAAGGCACGTCAGCAAGATGTAGCAGACATACGAAGGAGCTGGATCCCTGTTGGTCAATTTGTGCTCGTCAACAACCTGCCATCACAGACTCATCGTTTGCCTACCTAGCGGAACTCTCCACTGCGCCTGGCCCGTCAATCCATGATAGCAGCCATACCCGATGAACGATGCAATAAGTGCACCAATCCCGAGCATGAACTGCTGGAGTGTCGTCAAGCGACCGCGAATACTAGGATGCGCAATCTCTGCTTGGTACAGAGGTGCGAGCATGGCCAACATGCCAATACCCATGCCAGCAAGGAACCGTCCGCCGTACATGTAGTGGATATTCTGTGCGGCAGTCTGGATCGCCCCGCCGATCAAGAAGACGATGCATCCCGCCAGGATCGTTAGACGACGGCCAAAAGCATCAGCCAGAGAGCCGACATAGATATTCCTGCGTGTCGTTCGACTCAGTGACCACGACGAGACATTGACGAGGACTCACGATGCGAATGCTCCCAGCAAGAGACAGCCAGTGATCAAACCCAGCTTCGTCTCATTCGGATGGTCCGTCTTCGAAAGGAAGTCTTCGCTAGACTGAGACGGAGGTTTGAGCAACATGGTGCACCGTCACCCAACCGCCCACAACGTACCTCTACTGTGGCAATGATACCCAGATCGTACCCGAAGGTCACAGATCCAAGTGCCGCGAACACGCCGCAAAGCCAAGTATAGACCTTCAGCGCGGCAGTCAGTTGGAGTACGCCAGAACTAGCAGGCTCTCGCATTTACCTTTGGTGAAACCGCCATTGTTGAGCAGCAGTGCAGATGGTCCTGCTCGCTGACAGAATGGTCGAACTTGTGGAAAGAAGTTGACGGGCTTCTGTGAGCGATATCGCAGCACTCCGCTTGTGGCTATATAAGCGAAGGCGGATGCAATTCTGATCAGGTACGGGCCTTAGTGCAGCGCGCATCAAAAGTGAGTCCCGCCACGAGCTGGGGGACGAACAACGGAACTGCACAAGTGGGCACCCGTGACCATGCCGGCCCGTTAGTATGCTGCTGGGCGGACAGAAGATATTGCCGCTGTAGCCTAGTTCGTGCAGCCCTCAAGCGTTATCTTGCATTGAGATATGTTGTGTATCACTCGCAATGAATAGTGAAGAAGGTCGTCGCGAGAGAGCACAGCCTTGACTAGGACCGGAAGTGGCAAGGAAGTGGGGATGCGGGGAAATAGGCGGGGAAATAGGCGCGTCAACAGTAATGGGCGCTACAGGTGCGCGTCGGGCCCCTCCGGACCGCAGCTTCTCCGCGTTCCTATCATTCAACTTGATTCAAGGCGCATCGATGTCCGGTCAGTCCAGGTCCCGGATATTCCTTGTCGCAGGGCACAATACGACATACGAGGGTGTCAGCCAGGGGGTGAGGTTGCTCTCCTACAACGCATTCCTACCTGTCCAGCTTGAACCACCATGGCAGACCAACCTGAACTTGCTCTCGACGTCTTTCCCAGCGCGACCATTGCGCCAGTCTCCCCGCTTATCTTTTCGGGCTTCCTCGAACATCTGGGGCGCTGCATCTACGGCGGTATCTTGCCAGCAGGCCGCACCAACTTCCCGTATACGTCTCGCAACCCTTGTCCCGAAGATCAGTTCGTGGGGACCCCGAAAGAACTCCTCACGGACGAAGGGTTTCGTAAAGACGTCCTTGAGGTCTTGCGCGATGAGCTTGGAACGCCTATGGTGAGGTGGCCTGGGGGGAACTACGTCAGTTCCTATAACTGGAAGGATGGGGTCGGTCCGCAAGAGGAGCGGAAGCGACGCCCGGAGTTGGCCTGGGGCGGAGAAGAGAGTAACGTATTCGGAACGGACGAGTACGCCGCGTATGACGCTGCAGCGCCAACGACGTCACTGACGCAGTGTTCTGCAGATTCATCGCATGGTGCCGAGTAGCCAAAATAGAACCGTACGTTGTACTAAACATGGGGACGGGCACCCTCGAGGATGCCCTGCACTGGATTGAGTACTGTAATGGGACGGGAGACACGTACGTCACCATTGAAGTCACATTCTGCTCCCTGAGGGCTGATGGTGCGGCAGTCATTATGCCAATCTTCGGCGCAAGAACACGGGAAGAGACGAACCTCACAACGTCAAGTACTGGGGCCTTGGGAACGAGGTTTGGGGTGAATGGCAGGTTGGGCAACAGACCGCGTCTGCATATGCGACCAAGGCGCGTCAATGGGCACACGCAATCCATCTGATCGACCCTACCGTGAAGCTCGTTGGCTGCGGTGAGACTGGCCTGAACAGCTGGGACGGTGTTGTCCTAGACGAATTAGTCGACAAGGTCGACTTGCACAGGTTAGCTGGTAGCGGCGGATCTAGAACCGTGTCTATAAGCTCACCACCCTCAAATTGCATAGCATCCACCTGTACACAGGCTTCGGAGCCCGCGATCGATCGCAAACCGAGAAGGAGTACGGGCGTGCGGTGTATGGCCCCGATGCGGCGGAATATTCGATCGAGATCTGCAAGGGTCTGATCAACAAGGCAGTAAGCACGCTGCATTCTTTGGAGACCACCCCGATACTCACGGACGAGTGATCCTTCCAGCGAGTAGCCAAGAACGTTCCCCGGCGCATCACCATCGCGTTCGATGAGTATGGTGTTTGGGACGAGACGGTTGGCACACCGGAAAATGGGCTAGAACAGTTCTACAATCTGGCCGACGCCCTCGCGATGGCGTCCTGGCTCAACGTGTTCGTCCGTCAGGCAGACATCGTCGAGATTGCGTGCATTGCGCAAAGTGTGAACGTCATCTCGCCCCTAATCACCAGGTGGGTGATCAGTAATTGCGATCGTATCAAACTCATCGCCATGCGTAGCCCGACTGGACTGTTCAGGCAGACCAT